GACACTTTGGCATTTTTTAGTACCAACATTGCTTTCCAAAATACTCCAGACACAATAGTCCAACGTATTGGTATCTGGAGATTTTGGTGGCCATTGTGCGCTGGAAATGAAGCGAGGAGCCTCATTTTGTAACCATTCTTGGGTGCTGAGTCCTGTTGGAATGTCCAAGGTCTGTGGCCAATATGTTTGTGTGCCCAAGACTCCAGAATATTTTCGCGATAATATTCGGCATTTATTCTGATGCCACGGCCCATTTGTTTGTTTACTAACTGCTAGACAACGGAGTAACAATGTTTTCTCATCGGACAAACCAAATTCAGCAGTTCACCACCTTTTTTGGCCATCGCGACGCGGGTTTTGATCAAGTGACTTCACACTATCACGCTAGAATTCCATCACGAATAACTTTTTTCTGGAAAATTCTCACCAAAATGCTTTTGTACGCTTGTAAACAATATAATGAGCTCTCACTTTAATAATTTTAACAGCTGTCGGACGAGTGGCTTAGTCTGAAGTTGGTTGCAGTTTTTTCATCTCATCCTGAATACTAAGAAAGTACTCCTCGAGACCTTATCATAGCATTTCCATGCAGTTTCCCTACCACCAACCCCACTTTGGTTATTTGCCCACTTCGGTAAATTGTGTCATTTTTTTAATAAATTAATTTAGGAGATTTGTTTTTATCTTCAAAAATCCGATATTTCAAAGCTTGAATTTGTTATGGATGTATATCACGGCCTTAGAACACTGAAGGACGTCCATCCCTAAGTCAAACAAATGAACTATGCTAAGTTCAATTGGACAAAATGGGTGAATTGGACAATTGCTTACAAAATTACATTTACAGACGGACTTTAAGTGGTCAAAATATAACTTCGGAGTCCATGCGACATGTTCGTGATAAATGAAGGATTTGTAATTAATAGTTTTCCTAGATAGAACCGCTAATAGTGCTTCCTTAACCGAAACATAGAAAATATCGATAACTTTCGTTACATCAATAAATATATATGTCACAAACAAATACCTAATTTTTTCGAATGTATACTTAGTAGGTGAAACTAGATATCCACTTGTATAAAAGCTTCTCTTTGCATTTTCTGGCATAGAAAAAGTTTCTTCAAGGAACCAAAGAATTCAATTGTTAAGGGCATTTTAGTGCCGCACATTCTATGGAACAAAAGTGAAAACACTTTTCCGACGTAAATATGCGCAACGTGTCTTCCACATGTTTTGGGACTATTTCTGCTTAAAATCGTCAGCCAATGGCTTGTCATTCCATTCGTTAAGATCTCTATCGACAGTTTAGCCATTTTCAGCCAATAATTTTTCTAAAATGACAGCCGAGTACAAAAACGAAACTATGAAATAAATGATTAAGTACTGCAATTTCTCATAACTCGGAACTGTGGGGAGGGCTGTGGATGGGGTCGTGATTAATGGGTTTTGTGAAAATCATTTCCACACCCCGATCCAAAGAAAAAAAATTCAAAAATAATTTTCTGCAAGAAATTCTTTAAGAGTTCAGTGAGAAATAATGAAACACGTTTATCTTTGGGGCGTGTGTATGTGTGTCTTCACATGGTTCTACGGTCTAGATTTGCTGATCGTTATCTGACAAGCAAAAGAGTACCCATGCATACTAACACATTTGTATATATTAGAGGCACTAAGGCGCTCACCAAAACAAAAACAAAAAAAAATGAAAACACTCACGCACTTGCATTTACACACGTTCACACGTCCATCTATTCATTTACAAATTGCAAATGCTCGTGCAGGGTGGCAAAGCTTTGTTGGAAAATAAAAATGAAATGAAAAGATTAGCAATAAATCTTTTTCTGCAGATTCTCAGAAATAGGTTTTTACATTTAGTTGTTGAAACAACGTGAGGTATGCATGAACTTATACGCGTTTAAAGGAAAGTGGAAGCAAGAATTAAGAGAATTTTGAATCTATTATGCCTTGAAGATCGACTCAGATTTTTATACCCTCTAGCATAGAAATTAGGGTGCATTAAATCGGTCATGATCAACAAAAATTCTAAGTCGATTTAACGATATATGTCTGATGGGTGTCAATCGAATCAGCCCACATTATTTGAGGTAGAGCCTTGAAATTTGGCACAAGTGTGTTTATTGCGTCTAGGACGATTGGTATTGAAAATGAGATACATGGGTCACATTTTGGTTAAGCCCTCCTGTAAGGGTACCTCCCGATATTCGGTATTCGAGTAATAAGTGCACCAAAAGTATTGAAATTGGCTACATTTGGTACCATTTTCGATTATGTGAGGTGTTATCTTGAAATTTGTTTAGTTTTGAGAAGTAGGGTTGATATAAGGAGACGTTTTTGAAAATGTGTGCCAAGTGTAAGAATTGTACTAAGTGGTACTAAATTTGGTGCAACTTTGTTTGGGTAAACGAATAGAACTGGAATTTTGAAGTTTTGGTATTGGAGTTACTGGAGTTAGGTCTCTTTGGACCAAATGCGTTTCAGGACATTTGGAGTCTATGTAGCGATGGTCGTCCGTCCGTCTGCCTGTGTGCTGGCTGGTGCGCAAGATAACTCTCGAAGGGAGTATCTGATTTGGTCCAAAGTAGGTACATCGTAATGTTATTATCAATCTTTTATCGAGCTCAGAAATGGCCAATATCGGTCCACTCCTTCTATATATATATATTAGGATTTGAAAAGTTGGAGCAAAATCGGATTATATTTTCTATTTATGTGCTGTAATATATATATATATATATATATATATATATATATATATATATATATATATATATATATATATATTACAGCACATAAATAGAAAATATAATCCGATTTTGCTCCAACTTTTCAAATCCTAATAGTTGCATTAGCGCTAGGTCAGCTGCGAATATGGGCAATATTGACCCACTTCATTCAGTACACAAATCTCAATATTTTTATAAACTCAAAGTCTGATGCTATGCGGGAATATATCGATCCATCTCTTCTGGTAACTCCCCCACAAAGGATCAACATTTTGATTATCCATGAAGCTCATAAAACGCAAAATTAACATCCGATTCCATTCAGCCTTAGTACATCTCAATATTTCCTCAACACAAGATCTGTTATAAAGATGGTAGAGATCAGATCATTTCTTCTGGTACTTACCCCACATAGGGTTCAAGATTTAGAAAAACAAAACGCTATCACAAAATCTCTTGTGAAGGTGATATATACCTGCGAACCCCTTCTGGTACCTCACCCACAAAGCATCACAATTTTCAATACTTTTATCTGTCATAGTTTGCAAAACAAATCAGCGATTTCTTACAACTTGCTATATCTAAATATTTCTCCCAACCAGAAACTCGAGGTGAATATGGAATTTATGATTTTCATAAATGTTTGATTTTCTTGTAATTTTGTACCTGTATTAGATGAAGTATGAAATACTTCGGTCGACTATATCTGGTGCCTCAAGCACATCTTAACATTTTCTAAAAATTATCACATATCTCATATAAAGTGAAGGAAGTAACCTGGCACGACACAATATTTATTTCATATTTATTTAGTTCCGATACGAAATTGACAATATTGGCCCATTCCTTCGGAACACAGTCCATAGAGGGTCAACAATTTGACAGAAATAAAGACATATGTAAATAATCGGACATTTGCTGAGAGTATACATCTATCGGCAAAACCGACTGATGCTATTTATTTTATTTTTATGATATAGGTATAATTCTAACTAATCGAGTCCTACAGATATGAATATGAAAATTTCATAAAAATATAAAATAATATTCGTAGAAAATAATAGAAATGGTCAAGTCAAAAGACACATTTTAATAGCTATGCCACTTTTCGAGTAAATGAGCCATATGTTGTCCAAAAATCCAAAGATTTTTTCTTCGCAAAATACCAAACACTGAAATATCGGAGCTGTGGGATAAGATGAGTAATACCTCTTTAACATTTAATTCAATTGATATGTATCTTCAAATTATCAAAAAAATCGCCATTTATAAAAATCCCTTTGATTCTGAGGACTAATAATTCGACGAAGTAATGTGATGTGGGTGGGCGTTAAGCTTGTTTTACTAATTATTTCATAATTTATTTATAGCATGTCGATTAGAGCGAAGAGTTAGTTATTATGTAAAAACTGGTAAAACAAATTGTTACAAACAGCCCACGCATTTTATTTTCCTTGACGGCTACCCGCCGCTCACAACATTGCTGCAAACTGTTGCAAATAATAATCGCAACTTACACAAAGAAACAAATTCTGGCGATTACCTGAACAGGTCATATTAGCTGGGAGAGTGCTTCGCAAGGAAGCAGGGGTGAGTGGGTTTTAGGAAATTAACTTAGTCATTGGGAATACTTGCGAGTAAGAGGTCACAAGTTTACATCATTTTAATTGGTATTTGTTTACAAATATCGAGTCTACAATTAGATAATTTCTGAAAACTTACATTCCACTAAAATTGTTTTAACCTGGAGAATAACCCACTAACAAACACTACTAGAGATTCCATCAAAAACCATGTACGCCTGTGTACTTGGCGATCAAATATCATCCAAATAGACTCAAAAGAGAACTAGCTGACTGCTTGAGTGGAAACATTAACTCAACTCCAAATGATACCGGCTTTTTTACTTGCTCCCATCTGATTCTCGCTACGATTTTTCTCAAAATTCATTCATTGAGAAATTCATTAAAAAAGCCGGTTGAGTGACTCCCCACCACGTGAGCAGAACACAGAGACCGATGAAAGGTTGCTGGTTGAGAGATTGGAGCTCTTTTTGCGGCGCTCTGTTTACTACATAAACAGAGAGCCCGAAAATCAGCTGCAAAACAAACACAAAGTGCCTCCTTCGTCACGATAATGACGTTGCTGTTCATCATGAAGTTGAAGGCGATAATGAATGAAATCATCATTGTCTGGATCGGCGTTGATCGTGCGGTTGCTTTGAATCGTGTGGCGTTTTTGAACAGAAACGCGAGAACTGCGGACGAGTGCACAACACCACAGCGCTCTGTTGACCGAAACCGAGAAATTATTAATTCAATAAATTATCAGAAAATAAATGTTTGCCCGTCCCCGAAGAGCGAAATACTGAAAAGAAATACGCAAACTTATAATATAAATTCAAACCAACGGGGATTTTGAACAAAACCTCAGAAGAACAACAATAATATTGAACGAGCACAAATACGAAAATGTGTAAAATTGTGGAGTGTAAAGATTTGCATTAAGTTTTTTAGCGGTTGATTCACATCCATCGGCTCGATGCATCTTTTATAGACTTCCATGAAGAAGGATCATAAAATAATCCAGGCAGTGAAGTGCCATAATTTTTTTACAACACCTCCGGATGAGGACCACCAACACTTCGTAACATTAATTCGTCGTATAAACCTGATAGTGATAACATTTGCAAGCGTTCGCCTTTGCAGTCGGTCATCGGTCGGTCGATCTATCGGTCAGTAAACCTGTGAGGCATTGCTAAGAGCAAGTCTGAAATTTTATGTTTTTAGAAATTTGAGTAAAACAACTGTGAATGTCTCCGGACACCCCCACAACCAACATCAATCTATGAGTCGCCTTGCTTATGGGCAGCAATTAATTTTGAAAACGTGATCATCAATTTGACAAAACAAAATAAAAGTAAATTAAAAACACAACAGCATCACAACAAACAGTGAAAATATGCAATACAGTATTGCAAAGGCGGTGAATTCTTTAATTTCTACAACAACAAAGCTTAGGCAAATCGTTGTCGTTACCCTTGCAGTAGGCGTTGATGGCCATGCAACGATATTCCCAAAACCCAGTGTGAAATGAAATACCAAAATCGATTCCAACATCACTTCGAACAACCACAACAAAAACAACATAATTAAACAAAAAGTGCATTAATTTGGGTTTTCTGCTCTTTGGGTCTTGTCTGTTTGCTCGCAACTCTTGTTTGTCTACAGATAATTCCGAAATTACTTTTGCCACCACAAAACGTAAAAGTCAATAAATTCATCGCTGCTCGGCTGATCATGGAAGCAAAGTTGAACAAATAAACGACGATCGCGCCAAACAAGCAAACGAGCAGCCAGCCAGCCAGTCAGTCCGTCAGCGAACAAGAAAGCTTCTTTCGACTTGAGCAATTCATTAGATCCACCTGTCATCTAGTGCGGCAGCAGCAGCAGCAGCGGCAGCTATCGCTTGATGCTGTTTGTTGTTATTGTTAATTCGTGAAATTACAACAGCAATAATTACAAAAACAAAAGTAGCTACCATTCAAAGATTAATGAAACAAAAAAAAAGCAACAACAACAAAATCAGCTACTACTAAACAAATGCAACAACAACAACAGAAAAAATTTCAAGTGTAACATGCAAATTTATAAATTTTTAATTGGGTCGTCGTCGTCGTAGCCATCGATGTCTGTCGGTCTGTCTGTCCGTCCGTCTGTTGTCGCTGCCGTCTATGCATTCAATCGTAGATGTTGTGTCGTGACGTGTTACCATAGCCGCAGTGACATTTTTGTTTCTCGCCGTTGCATTTGGTGGACAAAAGTGCGTTACTATTCACGAAATGCGTTAAATTTCCATGTGAACAAAAAATCTCTCGAAGGCATCTGAATTGTGCGAATCGTTAACGTGAGAGTGGTGGCCAATGTGTGTGTTTACAGCAAATGGTTTGTAGTTCAATAGTATGGTAATAACAGTGGGTCAATGTGTGCCATCATACCCATAGAGTACATCTTCGCATTGAATCCTAGTTGAACAATAATAGTACTACGATGAGCAAATTTTAGACCCAATTGTGATCCCCGTTGCCATTACATGTTATATATTTCTTCTGTGAACTAATATAGACCATTGTAACATCGGATCTTATGATAAATACATAAACAGAATTATTGAACTACAATGTATGTGTGTTCCCGTACTAAAAAAAAAACTTTCAAAATATTTATCAATCAATATTTATAAACAAAAATTTGGACAGTGTTGGCATGTTTGTTTGGGATACCGTAGTATTTTGTTGTTGCAAAAATCGTCAGGCTTAATCCCATTATTGTTGTTTTTACAAAACAACACTTGTTTATTAGTGGAGAACGATGGTAAAGTTTACCAGGGGGTAAGGCAGGGAATACCTAGGTTTCGGAAAGAGCCACCAATCCTCATCAGTTCCCTTGTTTTTCTTCTGGGATATTCTCCCCAGAAGTTATTTTAAAAATAACTTCTATGACAAAAAAAACTTTTTTACCCAAGTGACGAGATCGTAAGCTCAATAGAAGAGGAACCAAAGAATTACATAAAACTAAAATTCTTTTGGAAAATCTTCTAAATCTTACAACCGCACTTGTAAAAATTACAAAATTCTTGCAAAAATACCAGGTTCTCGAAATGGTCTTAGATTTAGGCAAACCGTTGTCGTTACCCTTGTAGGCTTTGTTGGCAATGCAATGATATTCCCAAAACCAAGTGGAATACAATACCAAAATCGAATACCTTAATGGCTGTATACATTGGTTTTGAAAATAAATGTCCACAATTTGGAAGCGTTGTTCTGGAGTTAACCTCGTCATGATGATTCGCCAAACAATACTGAGTAGAGACGTCGCATTAAACTGTCAAACAAGCTGTCCGATAACAGAGTGATTCATATTAAAAATGCTCATAAAAAACACCCAGCAGTAACTGGAAAATCCTGCGAATTAAATTCCTTTCTGTGAATATTTGGGAATTTAAGAGAGCATATATCCGAAATGACAGAAATAATATCCAAAAAAAATCTTAAAAACAACAATGTCTCAAAATTTCAAAAGTAACGTATGCACATCTATCTGAAACCCTGCTTATACTTTCTAACCGGACAGTTTGAAATTCGATTTTTAAGTTGATTTGTTCTACCAATGTTTATATCAAAATATGCCTCATCGCTTTAGGTCCTAACTCTCGATCGTAATATTATTACCAAAATTAGATCGAGTTGCGATATGGGAAATATCGATATTCTTCACGAAGTACCATCCGCAGAAAGGTGTTAAGCTTTGAATAATCATAACTCCTATAAAATTTAAAATACATTGTTCAGAATGGGTCAACATTGTGAATAGGTTAAACTCCCTTAAAATACTCTCCCCTTTCTTTCAAAGTTCGATTTACTGTAAAGATAGGATATATAGGTCCAATCTTTATGTATATATAAATAAATGGTCAAGTTATGAGGTCATATATCTGTCGGAAAACGAACTGAGGTTATTTTAACTTATCATTATAGAACTTTAGACTGTTGTTTCAAAGAGAATGTTAATAACGTTTTATAAACAAAGTAACAAAAATCCAAAGTTTCCGAAATGAATACTACTTAGTATAAGTCCTTACAAGTGTCAGACAAATGTCAAAGATATGTCTGAAAATGTCTTATATACACATACTTTTTTATACCCTCAGCCATATGGCTACAGAGGAAATATATCATTTGATACGGCCAAAACGTGCCTCATCGAAATAACGATTTTAGACCCTAGGTCTCTTTGGACTAAATCCGTTTCAGGACATCCGTCTATCTGGCTGGCTGGTTCGCACGATAATTCTCGAAGGGAGTATTCGATTTGGTCCAAACTTGGTACACAGTAGTATTATTATCAAACTTAGATCGAGTTCGGAGATGGGCATATCGGTATTCATGAAACCCATAGAACGCGAAATTAACATCCGATTCCATTCAGACTTGGCACATCCTAAAATTTCTATCTATACAAAATCGTTTATAAAGATGGTAGAGATCGGACCATTCCTTCTGGTACCTCTCCCCCCAAAAGGTCAAAGTTTTGACTAATACGAAGTCAAATATTTTAAAATAATCGAATATTGGCTGAGGGTATACATCTGTCGGCAAAAACGACTGATACTTTTCACTAAGATATTTTCCAATTAAGAGTTTCGAAGGGTGCCTTGTTTTTGGCATAATTCTGCTGGATTATATTTTGTATGCAATTTAAATTGATGTAAGGAATTAGAAAATCCAACTAGTTTAGGATTTATTAATTATAATGTGTATAATTATGACCCAAATTTCGCCATATCTCTTATAATATTCTTGCAGAGATAAAACGAGGTGGCTATTTATTTTTATACCCTCCACCTTGGAATGGAGGGTATATTAACTTTGTCATTCCGTTAGTAATATCTTTAAATATTCGTCTTACACCCCATAAAGTATATATATTCATAATCAGCATAAAATTCTAAGTCGATTTAACGATGTCCGTCTGTCTGTCTGTCCGTCTGTCTGTTGAAATCACGATACAGCCCACATTATTTGACATAGAGCGCCAAAATTTAGCAGAGCTATTTGCATTGTGTCTAGGATGGTTGGTATTGAAAATGAGATATATCGGTCCACGTTCTGGTATAGTCCCCATATAACGGTACCTCCCGATATTCGGTATTTTGATTATTTATGCCACATTTTTTCACGGATTTGTCTGAAAATTGGTATTTGTAGGTCATTACGGATCCATGAGCGTGTGGCAAAACATTGCATGTATAGGTCCACGTTGTGGTATAGTCCCCATATAAAGGTACCTCCAGATATTCGGTATTTTAGTTTTTTTGCCACATTTTTTCACGGATTTGTCTAAAAATTGGTATTTGTGGGTCATAATGGTTTCCAGCTCCGGTGGCGAAACATTGCATGTATGGGTCCATGATTTGGTATAGCGCCCATATAACGGTACCTCCCGATATTCGGTATTTTGATGGTTTTTGCTACATTTTTTCACTGATTTGTCCAAAAATTGGTATTTGTGGGTCATAATGGGTCCTAGTTCGTGTGGCGAAACATTGTAATTATAGGTCCACGTTTTGGTGTAGCCCCCATATAACGGTACCTCCCGATATTCGGCATTTTAATGGTTTTTGCCACATTTCTTCTAATGTTTCTTTTACCCTAAGGTGGAGGGTATTAAAAGTTTGGCCCGGCCGAACTTAATGTTTTTTTACTTGTTTATAAAAGTTTTATTAATTAGAGAACAAACTTGAAAAATGGTATGTACACGAAGGAATATCAAATTTTAAGTAAAGAAAAAAATATGTTTTACAAAAATAAGTATTAAACAAAAATGCGAACGTGTGTGATTGAAACAATATTAAATTTACTGAATTATTTAGAAAAATTTGAAATATTCAGAGTGTCACAACAATACAACATGGTTTCCCCACTGTAGTCTGTAGCAGTAGTCTAATGTTGTCTCTTGTTACGGAGTCACTTTTCGGGCAAGATACGACGTCATTACCACGTCCATGTAATTAATAAATGGACGTATTTAAAAATGCGATTAAGGCAAACGAAAATAAAAAAGAAAAACAAAAATACAAGCACTTCTACTCGAACATAAATTTAATGTTTAATTGACATTATTAAAACTCAATTGACAAGAATATTATCGAGGAACGGTAGCAGTGACGTGGTAATTTTACATTTCACGAAAAAATCAAACTGTTATCACTTATTTTCAACCGGAAGTTGAACACTTTCATTGGTATCCCATTGCGAAAACGTAACAAAAACGCCACTGCTAATTGCCATAAAACACTCAACACCGCCACCACTTTTTCGTGCGAATCACTTCGTCTGCTTTCAAGAAAATAATAAAAAGTATATTAATAATTATTTGTGAAGAAAAAGCAAGAATGCGAGCCTAAAGAGCTTCCACAAACCAACAACAAAAAATATAAGCGTGCAGAATTCCTAAGAATTTTCCAAAACAAAATTCTATATTTTCAGCACACAGAAAAGATCTTTAAGATTACGATTTAACAAGAAAACCAAGTGAGAATGAAAAGAATGAAAAAATCCAGTGAAGGTGTGAAAAAAGTGAAAATAATATTAAACGATAAAAAACAACAGAGAAAACTGTATTCAACATAGGAAAGAAAAAAAGTAAAGCAAAAAATAAATAAATACCACAACAACAACCAATTAACACATATCCAAACCGAAAGGAAAGGAAATACAATACCCAACAACAACAGCAGACACTTCCAAAAAACACGGACAATATGAAACTGCAACCCCACCTTAGAAAAATGTTTGACTTTCACACGCTTGTGATCCTGGTGTGGTGGCTAACCCCAATGCAGACGCCTCGCCCCACACACGGACTACTTCTAGAACAACAAAGTAATCACAGTCATCCCGGCCATCATCATCGTCATCATCACCGTCATCATTATCCTCGGCAGCAGCAGCTCAGCCATTATCACCATACCACACCTAGAATAGAAGATGAGGATGGAGAAGCCACCACAAACACACCTCTGTCCCTGATGGATGATAATGCGATCACCAACAGAGAGGACGAAGAGCTTCTTCTTTTCAAAGGCATTAATTCGTGGAGCTCCAGCACCACGAAACCCGCCAGACATTACCGCCACCAACACTACAACCATCGGCATCACTCGTCGGAGCAACAGGACAAAAATCAAAGTCGAAATGGACAACATTTAATTTTAACCTCGTCCAGTTTATCATCGCCGACATCGGCGGCTTCAACTTCCTCCAAGTCATCCTTCTCAAATTCCATATTGGAACAACAGCAGCAGCAACAACAACAGCACCACCACCACACCCATCATCAACGAGGGCAGCCACATCATCCACATCCCCAGCAATCATCGTCAGCCGCCTCATCGCCGACCCAGAGATTAGGACCAACACCTTTACCACCACTGCCGTCATATTTCTTATCAGCTACAACGCAAAAACACAATCACCCAGCCGGCCATGGCAATGGCGACGGTGGCGGCCATCAAAGAGGGCTGTCTTCTAAGGCGGCCGAAGATGCAAGTCCTGCGGAACGGTCTAAATTTAGCACTCATAAAGCCGTATCATTGGAGCGAGACAATTACCAGAGACCACAACAACACCATCATCAGGAGCACCAGAACCAGAACCACCACCCAACAAAGCATCTTCATACTCAGACGAAAGATTTGACAATGAAACGAGACTATGACGACGACGATGATTTGCAAGGGCGACACACACGAACACCGCAGGAAGATGCTGATTACTACGAGGAGTACAACGACGGCGAGGATGCCGAGGATGACAATGAGGAGGAAGATGATATTGACGGCTTCGCAGATGACACCGATAACAATTTAAGTGATCGCTCCTATGCCCGAATAACCCGTTCCAAACTAGATGTAAGTACCTGCCAATATGCATTGATGTGTTTCTTTTTTCTTCTATTTTACTATTTCATTTTCAGTTACAGGGTGAACCATAAATCATGTTGCATATTTTAATTTTATTTAGTAAAAATTTCTTGAGATTACATTTTAAAGAATTATTCGAGAAAACAATGTCTTCTTTACAAAACCTGTGCAAGTAAAACAATTTTTACAAACCGGTCTTAGTAGGCGATAAGACCTGCTTTCTGGACCAACAAAAAGGTACTAGAAAATGATTTGTTTTTAGCTAATATCCTTCCTTCAAGAGCTAAATTCTTCAAATTTCTCACGTATATTTTCCAGACAATAGATAAAGTTAAGTTTTATGAGGTCCATGGTTATTCAAAACTTTGGGCCTTTGTGTGGGAGATACCAGAAGGTGTAAACCTATATATCGCATCTCCACAGCAGACCTTATATTAGCAAAAATAATGGGATGTATGAAATATGAAGAGAACCACATGCTTATTTCGGATTTTATAATCGTTTGACCCTTTGTGGGGGACGTACCAGAAGGAATGGTCCGATATCTCTCACCTTTATAACAGATCTTGTGTTGATATAAATATAGAGATGTATCAAGCCATGGAATCAATCGGATGATAATTTCGTGTTTTATGACCCGTTGTGGGGGAGGTTCCAGAGGGAATAGACCGATATAGCCCTTTTTACACCGGACCTTGGGTTAATAAAAATATTGTGATGTGTGTAATTTGAAGACTAAAACTTATTCAAAATGGGGAAGGAGGTACTTGTTGGAGTTGACCGATACTGTGAATTTTCTTACCTGACATAGCTATCATGTACATATTAGGATTCGCAAAGTCGGAATAAAATAGGACTATCCTTTCTCTTTGTGTACAGTAAAGTGTTTATTTTGAAAATATCGACTTTTAGTGGAATGGTTCAGAAGTAGTAGACCTATATTGTTCAAATCCAAACTCGTTCTCATAATAATATTACGATTAACCAAGTTTGGAACAAATCGGATTCTGCCTTCGACGGACATTGCTAGATCGACTCCAAGTGTCCTGAAACGCTTTTTGTCCAAAGAGACCTAAGCCCAAAACATTTATTTCGATGAGGCACGTTTTGGCCCTATCAAATGATATCTACCCTCTGTAGCCACATGACTGAGGATATAATTATCTTAAATTTTGCGAGGAATTGAGCAACATATTTGAGGCCCTTTGAGTATGGTTAAAGTATTATTGGAAACCCGAAATCCTTGGGGATTTTGATCTACTAGCCGAATACTATTACCTCCACTTATAATTATACATCTCCCAGGCCATGACCCCACAGTGACATAAATCCTTAATGAGGGAATTGAATCGATCAATTCGTTGCTAAAATATGTTCTCGTCAGAAATTCGTATTAATTTCAAAAATTTTTCTGAATGAATGAGATGATGTATTCGAGCTCAAAAATATCATCTCTCTCTTGTATTGGACGCACTCACACACTCATTTTTATCCATTAACTTTTGTCACACCCTGTCAGATGGAAATAGATGCATGTATCCCCACACTATTTCATCCGTATTCCGACATTTTAATTTAATCATTGGCATTTCGGTTGGACTTTATGAATCATAGTTGGCTGTCGCCCGTAAATATATTCACCTTCTTTACGACGAAACATTGTAAGCGATGACAGTTAATATTAAAAAACAGCCAGCCAGCCAGCTAGGAAGGCTGGTAGGCAGACCGCCAGACATGACCGACCGACCATGCGAGCGGACATGCAGACTAAAAGCAGGCAAATAAAAACATAATATAAAAGAAAAACAATTTGAAATTGCTGTAGTACATTATATTTAGCCCGGCTGCTACTGGGGTTTTTTGTACCACACACACACAACAAAAGCAACGACAACAAATCGTAGACAAAAATGGAATGTGTTTTTCGTGCAGACATAGATTTGTATTCTCTGTTATGAGACAGTGAATTGGAGAATATTTTTTGTTTTCATTTCAAAAGTTCTAAAGGGATAGGAAGGAGGCAACTAAGTTGTACTAAATATTGTGATTTTATCCACAAAAAAATACACGATGAGCAATAACGTAGGAATCCCAGCATTGTTTCCAAATCAGGAGGATTATGGTAAAAAGGATATATTGTGAGGAGAACTTGAATTCGCCAATTAAAAAAGTTGTATTCCCTGGATTTTTGCCAGTAATATTGTATGTGTTGTGTAAGAAATGTTAACTCGAATATTGTAAAGATGGACAGGACCTTTATATTCATGAAAATATTCGAAGAAAATTACTTTGATTATACAATTATACAGGGTGAGATAAAAAACTGCAACAAAGTCAAACGCCACAATTTTTAATTATTTTTTTAAATTTTATTGGATGAAAGCATCGGAAATAGCATCAAATTTTAAAATAAATTTAGATTTGTTCGAATTGGTCACCTTTGGCACGAATTATGACCTTCAAATGGCCAATGAAACCGTCATGCGCTTCCCGAATGTTGCTCTGCGGTATTTGGTCCATTCCCGGCGAAGCGCTTGCTTGAGGTGATCGACACTTTACTTTCCAAAATACTGCAGACACAATACTCCAACGGATTGGTATCCATGGTGGCCATTAATTCTGCTGCCACGGTAGATTAATACGAGAGGAGAGCGACCATCGGCTGTTATGGCGGCCCACACCATCACCATGGCCGGCGCTCGAGTTCTGGTGGTCAACCGAAGCTGCACATTTTCAGCTGACCTCTTTGCCAAGTAAATACGATCATTTTGTTTGTTTACAAACTGCTGGACAACGAATGTTTTCTCATCGGAGAAAACCAAATTCGGCAGATCACCACTTTCGGCCAAGCGAAGCAATTCTTTAGCTCTTTTGAGTCTATTTGCTTTCTGTTGCGGTGTAAGTTCTTGCACTTTTTGAAATTTCAATGGCCCCGAGCTCATTTTTCAATATTTGCCGAATGGAATATTGCGATATCTTCAGCTCGCGAGCCATTTTTCGGCCACTGCGACGCGGGTTTCGATCAAGTCGCTTCTATACTTTTCGAACGCTTTCTGTTGATGTTGCTGTTTTCTTCCGTCCACTTCCTTGACGTCGGGCTACGCTACCAGTATCACGGTAACGAGCGATGTTACGGGACACAAAAGATTTATTCACATTTAAATGATGGAGTGCTCTAACGATAGCCTCTTGTGTTTTTCCAGCCAAATATAAAGAAATCACACTATCACTCTTGAATTCCATCACGAATATTCGAATTCTCACCAAAATGATTATGTACGCTTGTAAACAATATAATGAACTCTCAATAGAATAATTTTAACAGCTGTCGGACGAGTGGTTTTGAAACGACAGCAGTGTGAAATTTGAAGACAATCAAGCTATTACATCACATTTTATAAGCTAGACAGACGGACGGACATCAATAAATTAACTCCAATTGTCCTGAAACGGATTTGGTCCAAAGAGACCTAGGATTTGAAATCGTCATTTTTCTAGCCATATGCCTGAGAGCATATTAATAAAATAAAATATAAGAATACAGCACTTTTAGAAAATGGGAGATCTTTGAAACCAATATTTCCAATACGTTGCATACATTTTCGACCAATTGCTACATTTATCCACTTACCCCCTCACGAACTTGCGTAGGTGGTAAAATATATTTATATGTTGTAGGTCTCCTTGAAATAAAAATAAAATAAATGTTCTAACAACAATAAAAAGCAATTATTCTATTTTTATTTCATATCTTGAAAAGAAGCAACAACATTTTCGTATAACTAACTGAGTACCTTACAGCCATGTTTGTGAACAGATATCGGAATGATATTCAAAGTGTTGATGTTTATTTTAAAAAAACGAAAAAAAAAAAAACGTGCTATGTTTGTTTTAATGAATACATTTTAAAAAGCAAATGATTTTGAATGGCGTGCAGCACGAGTCTAAAGCAAATAAATTTTGTAGACATATTTATATCTTTTGAAAAATTTTCTTTTGGCAAATATTCAAATTGTTTTAAACAAAAAAACATTCACACACCTTTGAAGAAAGGTGCTTCACAGGTAGAGATTTTTTGAAAATTTTTAAAAATCAACATAAGATAAAATGTAAACGTAGAAATCTGAGTGCCATTGAGGTGAATTAGAAGTTGTTTCTTTTATGTTTCTGCTTAAATTAATTTGATTTTAAATAGAACTCATTCAATCGATTTTGAACACTGTACACCAGAGGTTTTGTCTGCCACACACAGCTTACAGGTGCAAACACTTGTTTAACAATTCATAGAAGCAATTCAGGCCTCAAAGATAGTCATGAAAAGGAAGGAAGGGGGACACAGACGAAGATAAGATGAATAATTGTGAGTTGTTAATTGCAACGAGACTTCTTTCGGATGTATTTAACAAATTGCCACCATGTTAAAGGGGAGGAGGACCGCCAATGTGTTGTTTATACATCTTCAAATAATAATAGTCATAACTTCCACCCACCAATCTGCCAGACACACAGACACACTCACATCAACGGCTCGAAAGATCAACATCCAATTCAGATTCCTCCTTCCATGGGCGAAGATGGTTCGTTTTTAATGTTCCCAACACAACCACTAAACCGTAAACACATTCTCATTATTACAGATGGAGTTTTTTTTTATTAATTTATGGAGACTTCTTTTATTACTTAATTTGTTGTTGTTGTTCTTATTTTGGTGAGCAAAACAAAAATTTGATGGCGCTGTTGGGTGACTACTTTTGTGCCACCATTAGTGGAATTTAAGACCGCCATTTAACAATAAATATATTTTAAGCTTTGGCTGTTGTTTTTTTCAGTTTGGTATTTGTTTTTGGAAATATTTCAATATGAGTAATGTTGTCCCGGACCCCCCCGTTTTTAAAGAAAGCTATTCAAAATGCTAATTTTTTTGAAATGTTGTGCATCTTACAGATAGTTTATGGGTAATTTTTTTACAAAAGCATTTTATCGTGGGC